AGAGAGAGAGAGTCCATAAGACATAACGGAACGAGTGGGTTTCGTATGAACGATCGGTGAACACCCCCGACAGCTGATCTAAGATTTATTGAAACAACACTAGATAGGAGTGTTGTGTATCCCACCTCTCGCTCTGTCCTGCCGGTTGTGTCCCAACATGCTCGAACAAGTCCCAGTCTACCTTCGAAAAATAAGCGTGAATATTGCGCAACTGTTTATGTCGGCAACTTTGACTCGATTATTGATTCGTTAACTGGTTGTGCGCACATGGTTACCGCTAAAGACTGCAGCCCATTGAGAATATTTCTGCTGCGGCGTTCTCATTGGCTTCTTACATATCTCGCCACACAATTTCGTCAAAGTTACCGCGCTTAAAATAGTACCAAATGCAATCGCCGGGAAATGCTGTCAGTAGAGGCAACACAGACTGCAGGTTTGGAGAAAAATAAATCTTGATTTATGCCATGTGCCTCGCATGGATCAGGGATTTGCCCTTCTGTCTGCTTTAATGTATGTGCTGACGCTAAAAGTATACACTACGTCGCCCATTGAATACCTCAGAAAGAAGCAGGACATCAGAGCGGTTGAATACATAGGTGAACTAAATCATGAAATCTGTCTAAATTAGTGAAAAATCTGTCGTTAGTCTAAAAACCAATCCTATAGAAACCACACTCAGTAAAAATGGCAACTTATGTAGCATGTATTTTTCACATTGACTTTTGGTGATCTTATAAATTCAAATAATTTTTTTGTGGAATACACGCACAAAAATATGCTTTCGTTTTCTTTTTTGGTAGAAAATAACATTGTCTTTACATTGTATACCCAAAGAAAACGTGTATTTAGGGCTGAAAAAGTTTCTTGTTGTGAGATTTTTAAGACCGTGCGATGTCCATACATACCGTGTCACACATCTCCGTTCACCAATGTTCCGCGTGAAATGCACAACATTGTCTACATTGATAGTAAAATTTTATGAACTCAACCCGGTATCTTATTAAAGGCATAGAGGAATATATGATTCTTCTTGTACGGAATGCATTCATCTTGTAGAATGGAATCGCGAAATGATAATGTAGCAATTTATCTGGACCAATATTATTGAGGAATTAAGAAACTTTTTCAGAACACAAATATACGCTTCCTTTGGATAAACAAGGTAGAGACAGTGTTATTTTCTACCAAACACGCAAAAAAGCATATTTTTATGTGTGTCTACCACAAAAGACTATTTGAATTTATAAGACCATCAAAAATCAATGTAAAAAATACATGCTACATAAGCAGTCATTTTTTACTGAGTTGAAATGAAGTGTATTTACAAGCCGACACCCAAACGAGTCTGAAATATTATGGAAGTATTGCCGATACAAGCGAAGATGCGAGTTTCAGGAACTAGTTGATCAGAAGAAAAAGCGATCGCTGGAACAAGGACTTTACTCGCCTGACGTTTCGGATTCTCACTTGAATCCATCATCAGAGAAAGTGGCAGAAAAGGGTGGCTCTTGCACAGGAAGTTGCAGTATTTATAGGATGTAGTCGCTGTGCTACCGCATACCTATAGCAATTACACCCCCCAATTACAGCTTTCCCCCGTTACCAATGCTCTAGCAGCCGACTGAGGTCTGCTCACATATATTCATGCTGCTAACCCCATCTCACAAAGATCGTAAAAACAAGTGAACACCGCAAGCCTATGAGAACGAGGCGTCAGAATGCATAGTCCTGCGATCGACTCGCATCTTCAGGGTTATTTGAAGGCTGAAGTGTATTCGTGTTTGATGAAACAATCGCGACGTTTTGATGCAACTGAGGCGTCCATCAAAACGCCACGGATGTAGCTCCAAGGGCTCATAGACAGTAGAGGCAACACAAACTGCAGGTTCGGAGAAAAATAAATCTTGATTTATGCCATGTACCTAGGATGGATCAGGGATTTGCACTTCTGTCTGCTTTAAAGGATGTGCTGAGGCTACAGGTGTTGACTACGTCGCCCATTGAATACCTCAGAAATAAGCAAGACATCAGAGAGGTTCAGTACATAGGTGAACTAAATCATAAAATATGTCTAAATTAGTGAAAAATCTGTCGTTAGTCTAAAAACCAATCCGAACATATCCACTACAACCACGCACCCATAACTAACGACTCAACCTAAAATACAAACGCAAAATAAATACTTCAAGTACTATGCTGCCGTTTAAAAAGAAAAATTTTCTTAAGAAAATCGCTTATAACAAGAACGTGAAAATTCGTGTCTCATGAGCCAACTCAAAAGTGGTAAGCGCATAATGCTTGTCCATGCAAATAACAGACTAAATTACAGTTCGTGGGCTAACTCATGAAATTCCGAAATTCCGAAATGCGTTTCAGTTTCGAAAAGATTAATTAAGTAGGGTTGCGAAATTAATAATCGTACAGCGTAATTTCAAATATAATTCAGTTATCTCAGGATGCCGGATTTCGAAGGAACGTTTTTTCGGGTGCTTGCAAAAATTACACTCTGTAAAACATGACTACTTAAGTAGCATGCATTTTTCTTACTAATTTTTGATGCTCTTAAATATTCAATTATAGTCATGGAAAAAAATGCATAAAAATATTTATTATTTTGCTCATCCGGTAGTAAATTACGTCTTTTTTAAATTTTACACTTAAAAGAAGGGTATAATTTGGTTTTAAAACAGTTTCTAATTGTGACCCTTTTAATACTCTGGAATGACCGTTCATAAAACGCCATGTTTCCGCATTTGCCAATGTGACTCATAAAGTTAACAAAATGGCTTAAACTTACTGCTAAATTTTATGAACCCCATATAGTCTCGTCTAAATACCGAAGAGAAATGTAAGGATTTCCGTACGCGGGAAGTATACGGCTTGTAGTTTGGAAACCCTTGAGTGCAAATGTAACGGCAGGCCGAGTCCAAAATTATTCGGGAATCTGGGAAGTTTTTGAAAACCGAATTATTCCCCTGCTTTAAGTATATAATCATAAGAAGACGTCATTTTCTACCGAACGAACAAGAGAATGATTATTTCTGTGCATGTTTTTATGAAATATAAGTGAATATCTAGGGGCATCGAAAATCAATGATAAAAATGCATGCTACTTAAGTAGCCATGTTTTACAAAGGATAGTTTTCACATGCAGCCGGAAAGACGTTCCTTCGAAAGCCGGCCCCCTTAGGTAACTCTACTATTATGAGAAGTACGCTGTACGCTTATTAATTTCACAACCCGACTTAATTAATCTTTTCGAAACGGAAACGCATTTCGGAATTTCGGTTGATAGTTCACGAGTTAGCCCACCTACTGTAAGCGGTGTAAGCACAGATGATTATGTAGAAATAGTTTTTACGCATATTTCCGTTAAATATCCTCCAAGAATTAGTGCTATGTGAAGTCTGACACAGGTGTTGGTGTATAAAATCTCACTGCGCGAAATCGATGAAATTTTCCGTTTTTTGCATCGTTCGAGATGTGGTTGGTTAAAGTAAACGGGATTTTGCTTACTGTCTCTGCTAAAGAAGTCACATTAACAAAAGTTCCCATAAGCTTACTTATCGAAGACCGTTCGCGTATTATTAAATTAGGGTAGAATAAGCAGATTCAATCGTAAAGATACCACTTTTTAAGAGAACTTTTTTCGCCAGATATATTTGCAATTTTTGCCGACGGTGGAGTTCGTCTAGTTTTAAAGAGCCTTTGACATATCAATGGATACTTCCTGATTTTTCATGGGTTAAATTAACTGCCCGTCAACATGGATTCTATGCGCTGGATTTATCAAAACCGTTAAAATAAGACATTTCTTGGAAGCAGTTACCGAAGAAGTGAGTGTGTGGGCAGATGGTCGCTTGAGTCACGTTTGAAAACTCACCCAAATATGAAACTCTATCGTCAAAAATAATGAAAGCCCACAACAAGTGAACAAACGCGCAGTAACTAGACCGCAGGAGAAATCATTATATGTTCAAAATTAAAATGACCATCCGATAATGGTCTTTTTGGCACGTTTAAATTAAGAACTGCATGCTGGCGTTGTTACTGCATTTATAGGCATTCAATCACCCAGATCTGCAAATTTGAATTTCGAAAATAATTTTTCAAGTGCGGCAAACTCTGTTCGTTGCCAGAGCACATCCAGGTGCCCCTTGACCTTCCGTAATATCCCTGAATTCACTCTAGACCTCAGCAGAGTTCACCGACTTTCACGTATTCTGCGCTGGGACTACAGAATACATAAGTATCTTTTCGAATCGAAAAGGCTTTAGGAATTTCGGTTAACATTTCATGAATTAGGACACCTACTATATATGTATATGGGCAGAATAACATTACAAACAAAGACATGATGTCTGGAATGGCCATTTCTGGCTTATTAGCCGCCGTCAGCCAGTCATACTCAACCCCCAAGTGTGGCCCACACGAGGCTCGAACTCGCGACCTGTTTGTTAGAAGTACACGCCTCTAACCACTGGGCCACGAGCACGTTGCTCTGTCGGTTTTCGATCGAGAATATACAATGGTAGGGGACGCTCACCGATCGTTCATACGGAACTCACTCTTTCCGGACTGCGGACGAACAGTTAGGGTTAGGCGTCGTCTTATTGAATTGGCGTTCGTTTCGCACAGCACCGAGAAATGTATCGTCCTACGTAACATTCAACCAAAAGCTGGACTGTTGGAAGATTGGTTTTTACCAACTGCGGCGACTGAACGGTTACATTCATATAACATCGACGAATGATCATTTTTGCAAAATACACACATGAAAGGTCTAGCAAAACGGAGCTGACTTGAGTAAATATTTAGGCTTTTACACAAGCAATTGGAAACAACCACTCAACCGCCGAAAATCGTATGCAATAATGTACAAAAATAAATAAAAAGGTGGTAAAGATAGCACAAGGTCATGCAGACGACGTCTTTGGGGTTTTTGAGAGGTGTTTTTTCCTGGTTATCATGCTACTAGCAATTATTTCAATCGATCTGTCCTACAGTTGCTTTTGCGTAGATGCAGTGAGGACAGAATTAAGGGGTAAAACGATATACCCGCCGACATTGGCTTGATGCTTCATGGAGCTAGTGATCCCATTTGGTAAGTTGAACTGGAGACCAATCCTATGCATCACCAGACCCAACCAGACATCGTCAATGGGAATGCTCTTGGTGAAGGACATGGCCAAAGCCAGATCCGCCACGTGATCGTAACCGAGCATGTAGAAGTAACCGTTGCTGTAGGGTGCATGCACTGGCCACGGAACCTCCCGTTTCGACAGTGCCCATTTTCGGACGGCCGGAGTGGCCGTGGGACGCACTGTGGGACTGTTCCAGCGAGTACTCGAAATGGAAACATTGCGCCGCCAATCCACCGGTAGAGTGGCCAGAACGGCCTGGAGGCGCTTCTCATTGAAACCAAAGTCATCGTCGAGGAACATGAAGGCACGACGTTCGCGACAGAACCTGGCTGCCCACACGAAGCTGTGATGCATCTTCAGAGACAGATTGTAGTAGGTGTCCTCGAAGTCGCCCACGATGAGATCATCGTGTTCACGCATCTCCTGCTCTAGGCGACTTCGAATCTGGGCGCGGCGGTTTCCAATGTTTACGAGCGAGTTGCCGGCGCGACCGGGCAGTGAGACGTTGAAACCATCGCGTTGGAATGAATTGCTGCTTGCGCTTGTAGGCAGGCCCATTGCAAACACAATTCCTATACGATATGGTAGTTCTAAGCTGCTTCCGTTCCTCAGGCGGGCGTAGAGTCTGCGAAAGTTTTGTCTGTCCTCGAAGTTGTAGACGGCTGATTTCACAATGACGACGAGGTCATGGTTGTGCTTGAGGTCAGCAGTGTTTATTCCTTTTGGTGGACAAACGGAAGTGCTCACTCTGAGTAACCGTATGGTGGGACTGTTGATTGGAGGCTGTAAGCGTACAAGAAGGAGGCCTTTAGGATTCGGATGCATTATGAAAGCAGAGATAAATAGGTGTCCTGTGGATTCGTTAGGGGTAGCCGGCAGCTGTGCGGCTGTTGGCGAGCTCAAGAGAGATCCCTAAAGCATAATGTGAGAAGTGAATTCCATAACGCGATCGGTGTGCTCTCCTCTGTCATTGCTAATGCACCCGATCGCAGATGGCAGGACAACGAGCCCGTGGATCAGTTGTTAGAGGACGTTGGACTTCCAGCCAACAGGTCGCGGAATCGAACCTCAGGTGTTCAACACATCGGGCGTGGCTATTGCTGGCTGACGCCCGCTAGTAAGTCAGAAATGTCCATTCGAGCTTCCCTTGTCTTTGTCGGTAATACTATTCTGCCTACAAAAGCAATACTTGCTGGAGCAACTGTTGGACTATTTTTACCAAATGAAGTGATGTATGATCCCGATGTCAATGAGATAGCAGGCAATACTGTCGGGATACAGGGCGTTGTCTGTCAGTTGGTGCGTGTTGGGGAGTGATTCCCATGCTCGATCAATCTCTTCTCCCTTGAATAATTTTCGTGAGATTTCTCCACTCATCATCCATAGACGCTAGAAGTACTAAAAGTCACTAGAAGAGTGCTTTCGCCTACTTGCAATAGAGATAGCGCGAACGGAATTTCAAAAAAACGTCATTTTCGAAAGGTCACTGCAGATTTCACATCTGTGCGATAGTAGGAAGCCCTGCCTATCGCTCTTAGACGTGAAAAGGCGGGCTATGCCGATTGAATTGCAATTATTGGCTTATTTGGCATCACTGGATGGCCGCTTTCTGACTGTTTCTTTAAAGGTGAAAATTACGCTCATTCAGTGTATGACCGATCTCTTGAAATGCTAGCCGCAATTCTGAAATTTCGATGAGGAATGATTAATTAAGGTGGGGTTGTAATACTCTTTATAGTGCGGCGTAATCCTATGAGAGTTCGGACTCGCCAGAATGTCGGCTTTTGAATGCACTTATTTCAACCCTCTACACAGACCAAAAAGCGGCTGCTTTCGCATTGATTTTCGATGGTCCTATAAATTCAAATATATTTAATAGGAAACATACACAAAGCGTGCTTTCTTATACTTGTTTGGTAGAAAATCACATTGCCTTTACATTGTATACCCTGGGAAAGGTTACCTTTCGGATCTAAAGAAGTTTTTTGATTCCGGAATGATTTCGAGTCTCTCCAGTCGTTGTATTAGCGTTTAGCGATGTCGGTCTTCAAGGTGCATGCTTTCTGCGCAAGAAAAATCATATATTCCTCTACGTCTTTAAAGAGATATCATATCGAGTTCATGAAATTTTGCAGTTGATGTGGACTATGTTGTACACTTAATAAGGGGCATTTGCAAATGAAGATGTGCGACGCTGTATGCATGGACATCGCACGAGCTTAAAAATCCAATAATTAGAAACTTCTTTAAGACTGAAGGGTTGGCATTCGTAGGGTATGAAATATAAAGAAAGTGCGGTTTTCTACTAAACAAGTATAAGAAAGCTTATTTTTATGAATATCCTCTATAAAATGTATTTGCATTCGTGAGAACATCGAAAATCTATGCAAAAACGTGTGCTATTTAACTATTAATTTTTTGCCAAGTTTGGTTTCTGCAGGAGGTCTAAAAGAAGTGCATTCAAAAGCTGACCTCCTACGGACTCCGAAATGCTATAGGAGTATGCTGCATACTAATCAGTATTAAAACACCACCTAAGTAATCTTTCATAATTGAAAACGTTTTTCAGAATTTCAGTCGACATTTCATGAGGTCGGTCACTCAGTATATTCATTCTGGAAACTGCCATCCGTTTAGTGTTGTTACGTTGACTGCCGCGCATGATATGTTTTCGGTAATCCTTTAAATACTCTCTACTGTCCCTTTCTAATATGCTCGCTCGGTTTGCAGGAAGTAATTTCCAAGCATATTTTATGCGGTTCAGCACAGAGATACTAAGAGTAAGCATTGAAAATAAAGGTGCTTGGGATTGAGAATCTTTGCAAATGTCGTGCATAGCACATAGTTTATATTTGCTCTACTGCAAGGTGAGAACATGGGCGGCATTCACGCAGACGTGCACAGCATTTACTGCACTCTTTCCTCTCCATTCCCACCCTGGACTCGGTTTCAAGACAGAGTCAGGAAGACCGGAGGTGGGGCAGGGCACAGGCGGATGGTGGAGCCGAGCCCGCACTTTGACGTTCCATTCCACATCCCCCTGGTCCACACATATTCCCCCGTCAATACATGCAGCACGCGTACATCCTTCCAAAATCATTCACATCACCGGCACCCCTCACGTAGGTGAGGAGTGTGCCATTTGACTCATTTCTCCAGGTGACTTCCCCGTTGTGTGTGTGTGTGTGTGTGTGTGTGTGTGTGTGTGTGTGTGACGTCTGAGCGGTCTGTCCCCCTTGTGTGTGTGCGTATGGGGACCGGGTCGTGCGTGGGGCGCGCGTAGACGGACTCTCTAGCCTTGTCGTCCACTGCACCTAATCCCAGGTCAGACAGCCGAACTGTTCTGACGGTGAACTGGTGTCTGGGAGGGTGAGATCGACCCCCTCAGCGCATAATCCCTCACTACAAATAATCTGAGGCGCTTAAGAATACCAAGGTGCGTTAAAAGCCGAGCCAGCCTCTTTTATTCCTGCGTACGTTGTGGACCAGAGAGTGTGATGGTGTTGCGGGTGTTCGGCCGCGTCACAGGGTTACAAACCCCACCCTTCGAGTCTCATTAGCCGTTGTTTTAGCGTTTAGCGATGTCAGTCTACAAGGTGTATGCTTTCTGTGCAAGGAAAATCATATATTCCTCTACGTCTTTAAGGAGATATCATACAGTTTTCATGAGAGTTTGCAGTTGATGTGGGCTATGTTGTACACTTAATGAGGAGCAATGGCAAATGAAGATGTGCGACACTGTATGCATAGACATCGCACGAGCTTAAAAATCTCATAATTAGAAACTTCTTTAAGACCGAAAGAACATATAGATAAAGAGTGATTTTCTATCAACGGAGTACTAGAAAGCATATTTATATGCATATTTTCCATAAAATACAGTGCGTGACCTATCTCATGAAATGTTGTCCATAAAATTTTGCAATGGATGCGGACCATGTTGTACTTTTCACGAGGAGCATTGGTAAACGGCCAGGTACGAAGATGTGTGAATTGACATTTCGCGGTCTTAAAAAGTCTCATAATTAGAAACTTTTTTAAAACCTAATTATACTCCTTTCTTAAGTATAAAATATAAAGAAGACGTGATTCTCTATTGATTAACTAAAAGAAAGCACATTTTTGTTTGTGGTTTCTATAAAATATATTTGTATTTCCAAGACCATCGAAAATCAATGGGAAAAATGCATCCTAATTAAGAAATCGTTTTTTACAGAGTACGCTTTCTACAAGAGATTGAAAAGAAATGCATTTAAAAGCCGACATCCTGCCGAGTCCGAAGCGGTATGAGAGTATGCCTTAAGATAATCAGTATTACAACCGCTACCAAGTAATCTTTCCTAATCGAAAACGCATTGCAGAATTTCAGCCAACATTTCATGAGATCGGTCACTCAATGTAGGAAAGGAAAAAGACTTGCCGGGCAAGACAACCAGCTATCCTTTCTGGATGTTCTTATGTTTAGAAAGGAAGATGGTTCTGTAAGACGTTCTGTCTTCCATAAGAATACTTGGAAGGGACATTACTTGCATTTTTTGAGTTTTGTACCTATCCAATGGAAACGTAACTTGGTATACTCTCTTTTCCAAAGGGCTAGAAAAATTTGCTCCAATGACACACTTGATGCAGAATTTGCACGTCTCAAAGAAGCTCTACTAAGCGTGGATATCCCGCACGGTTCATCCACAAATACAGCAACTGTACACGGCCAAAACTAACAGATATTCAGCTCCAAAAAGCCCGTCTTTAGATCTTTGCCCTTTAAGGGCGACAATATTTTAAATACTATCAAACGACGGCTACGTTCTGCTATTGAAAAGATATACAATGCAGCCGAACTAGTATTCTGCAGTCCTACTAAGCCACTTCCGATTCCACGGGCAAAGGATGCCCTGCCAATGCACGCCACGTCAAATTGTGTTTATGAATTCACATGCACTTGCGGATGCAAGTACATTGGGCGAACGCAAAGGCAGTTGGCAGCCAGGTCCATTGAGCACTTGCCCAAGTGGCTCCTAAGACAAGAAAATAAGATCCCGCATTCATCCATTACGAAACACCTACTTGATACTGGTCACACCGTCGACCCCAAAACTTCCTTCCGAGTACTTGTTCGGGCACGAACAACTCGGACATTGCGTTACCTGGAGGCAGCCTATATACGAAGAGTGAAACCAGATCTTTGTAAACAATTGGAGCACGTGGTTAACCTTACATTGCCATGGTAGCCTCTAGCTCCATGATTCCCCCTCTCCCCTCTCATTTTTTGCTCTTTAACATTTCCCCTTTTTCACTTTCTTCCCCTACGGCGTTTGTGTTACTAACTTTATCGATTAGCCAACTTTGCCCAAAACCCTAACCTTGCAGTTTCTGCATCGATTTTCTGCACGAATTCAAATCTGTTGTATTGTTCTCACTCGTTATCTCTCTTATGAAGCGACAGGAAGCAGCTGAAGAGCAGTCGCGAAATTTTTTGGTACCAATAAATCTTGCCGTTCTTGCCTACTTCAGCTTCGTACGGGGACAAAATGCTTCAAATCTGTTTATTGTTCTGAGGTTTCGAACTCCCGCAGAAGTCCAGCGTCAGAGATAGTTTTAAAAACAGAAGGAGCGACGACAGTGGGGGTGCTAGTCGAACGTCAGTCGATGGCGCAAGACTGGGGGTAGCTGCGCAGGGCTCTGTACGCTGCCGCCAAAAGCGGGACTATGTGTTGGAATGGCTAACCGACCCAAAGCCATCATGTACAGCAATTTCCTGAAAAAAGTCCGGTTAAACCCCCATGAGCAATCTGGAGTAGTTTGAGGCATCCCATGCCAAAACTGCCCTTGCAACTGCACAGGCCAGACTGGGCGTATGCTCGGATCGCTCATGCAAGAAATGAGCTGGCTTAGAATGATAAACGAACTGTTCTGCTGCTTACGCAATCTTCTTTTTTTCAGAAAATCAGTCCGGTGCCGTGTGCCAGCAAAAGTAACTCGACGGGGAGGACTTTGCAACATTCGCCTTCATATTTTACCTTATTTTCCGAACAGTACCAGAGACTGCACTTGATGCATCAATTTTACCCACCTCAGGAACAAAGTCAGTCTCCCTGTGGTTCTTGATGATCTCACTTGAGCCCAAACCGCAGCAACACAGCGGCGCATGATATAGGCAGAATGGTATTACCGACAAAGACAAGGGAGACTGGAATGGCCATTTCTGGCTTATTAGCCGTCTTCAGCCAGTCATACCGAAACCCCGAAGTTTGGAACACCCGAGGCTCGAACTCGCGACCTGCTAGTTAGAGGTCCACGCCTCTAACCACTGGGTCACAAGCACGTTTCCCTGTCGGTTTCGATCAGTAACATAGAATGGTAGGGGGCGCCAACCGATCGTTCTTACGGAAATCACTCGTTCCGTTGTGCCTTACGGAATCTCTCTCTCTCTCTCTCAGAGCCCTCATTCAATCAAATTTACGTTGGAAGAAGAACAGCCCCGATCGTTTCCCTTAATCTACGTACTTCTTCGTAGAAGGCCTGACGGCAGTATTCGACATAGCGTTTATCCTAAGAAGAGGCAGTCTGGGCATTGCACCAATTTGGGAGTTTCCTACTGCTGAATTTGAAACATAATGTATTTCACTGTTTGACAGAAAGGGTGAGAAGAATCTGCATAGCCGATAACATTGCGAGAGAGAGCTTATGGTTGACGAAAGTCTCTTTCGCCAGAACGACCACTATGGTCGATTCAGGGTCAAGATCATGACCGGAAGAACACTAAAGCCCCTCAATGCTGATGTCAGGAAAGAAGAAGCTTCCCATCAGGTTCCGATTTCAAGGGGACACGCCGAATGGACGTTGAGGAGGCCAATTTGACAGTGAATCTGTACTGACCTCAGGAACCAGTCCGGTCTCCTTGTATTTCTGAATGACCTCACGCAGAGCAAAGCCCTGCGGATACAGAAGGAAGATGTTCGGATTAATTGGCCTTTTCCAGTCAGTATCGTTTACTTGGGCCATCTCTGCAAAGCTGATATTCCGACCTCCATCAGTCTTGCTGATCAGATCAAGGGGAAAGATGTCGTATCTGGTGACTGGGAGGTGCGGATCTACACAGTAACGAAGACTCAGGTCGTAGGCGCCGTCCCATGTCATTTCACCGACTCCAATCCAGGCGACGTCGCATACACTCGAGGAAACTCCAATTTTTACAGTTTTGATGACGTTTACCAACAGTTCTCTTGTGAAGTAGGCATCGTGGAGTATCTTAAGGAGTCCCAACAACGCGAGGAGGGAAATCCATGCGCGGAAAGACAGCGGGAAAGTGGATGTCATTATGTAGTCTGTTGTAGTTGTGCCAGCTAGACTCGAAAGTAAAACCCACACCTTCGAGGGCAAAAATATATACGGACCTTCATCTCACGCATGCAGTTCTGCATAACCTGTCGAGGGATGTTTACCGACAGTAAAACTCGACCAACCAGGTTTTAGAACATTCGGTGTGCCGATGCCGACCGCACGTGCTCGAATGTAACAGAATATTCTAGGTGAGTATACTGGCTTGTTTTAGGCTGAACTTTGAGTTAGCCACCGGTGTGTTTATGCGACATCAAGCCCATTATCGGACACCACAAACTATTCAAAGTAGACATTAGACGGGAGGCCACAGTGTGCCTATCACAGCTGTTGAAACCAAAAACACTATTTCGTTTCTCGCGTTCTTCTTTCAACATTTGTCTGCTTGCATAAATTTCGGCGGAAATCCTAGGCGCACTAGTCTGACCATTGTGATCGTCTGAGAGAGATAAAGTGCTCATCAGATCAAGGGAATTGTAATGCTGTCAGGGCGTATGTGGTGACGTAGGACTTCATAGGCTGCAGGAAGGCCTAGATGCCGCCGCACATATTCATGGGCAAGCCAGAAGCTTTCCAATTTCGTTACCTGGTCAACGGCCTAAGACATTATGGGTGATACGTGGACTGCAACGAAACAAAACAACGCCTCAGTTTTACAGGATAATATAAATCAGGCTCCCACACCAATCAAATTCCCGCTGTAAGAAGAACAGTCCGGTGTGTTTCCTTTTCTGAATGCGCTTCCGAGTAGAAGACCCGACGGCAGTACTCGACGTAGCGTCTACCGTAAAAGGACGACCAATTTTTGGAGATTCCAACAGCTAAATTTGAAACGTAGTTTAGTCTGCTGTCTGACAGAAAGCGTGAGAAGAATCTGCTCGGCTTAAGGTTGAAGAAAGTGCATTTCGCCAGAACAACCACCCTGATCGATTCAGCACTATGACCATGGCCGGAAAAACACTAAAGTCCCCCTGTGCTGACATCAGGAAAGAGGAAGCTTTCCGCCAGGTTCTGATTTCAAGCGACGCGCAAGTGAACTTTTAAGAAGTCAGTTTGACAGTGAAACTGTACTTACCTCACGAACCATGCTGCTCTCCCTGTATTTCTGAATGACTCCGCGTAATGCAAGACCTTGCGGATACAGAAAGAAGACGCCCGGATTAACTGGCATTTTCCAGTCAGCGTCGTTTATTTGGGCCATTTCTGTAAAGTTGATTTCGCGAAATCCGCCTTTCTTGCTGATGAGATAGAGTGGAAGTGTGTCGTATCTGTTTACTGGGAGGTGCGGGTCTACACAGAAACGAAGACTCAGATCGTAGGCGCCGTCCCGTGTCATTTCGTTGGAAATGCTCCACCGAAGTTTGCATATTGTGGATGGAACCCGAATCCCCATTATTTCAATAACATACTTTGTCCATCCTCTCATGAAGTAGACATCATAAAGTATCATCGTTATCCCCAGCAGTGTTAAAATGAGGATCCATTTACGTTGAGGCCGTGCGCATTGGGTCATCATGGCGCGGCCTCTTCTTGGTTATATCCCCAGCTTAGCTCAGAATGATTTATACAGGGGCGTTATTGCGTCTTAAGTGTTGCATAAAACGTCGAAGGATGTTTACCGGCGGTTAAAACCTAGCCAATCAGCGTTGGAACAGGTGCTGTTTATGCAGTCGACAATCGAACGCGTCTAAGTGTAAAACGGAGTCCACAGCAAGCATCCTCACTGGCTGCCGACTTTTGGCAATCTGTCATTGAGTCCTAATTTAGCGGCTGATATGCACGTGAGGCCTCAAGCCAGCTCGCTAGCCCCACTTTACTTCCGAAATAGACATCAGGCTGAGGGTTGAATTCAGAACTCCAAATCGGGAGCAGGGCATGGGGTGTTTCCGAATCCACGACATTTTCTGATGCCTAGCGTCGCCGCAGTTTAAAAGGGGATGTGCAACCTTGTCTGTTCGCACTCTTAAGGCCTCGCGGGGTTTTCTCCATTCAAAGGGAATTGCGTGGTAAAGTAATCAAGTAGTATGAAGAAATCTCCGATGACCATCGGATTGCTTGCTGGTGTAACCAACTGCAGCAGTGAATATGCCCTCACCGTAACAGAGTACTTGGTGAAGTTGATGAGGAAGGATGGATTACCAAGAGAAAAAAATCTGATAGTCAAGTTGAGGTGCACTGATCGAAAATTGAGAATCTACAAATCCAGTTGTCGGTAAGTCCAACAACATTTTCTAAGACTGGGGAGCGTACGAGCGGCTGAACAGGCAGTGATCGAAAGAGTTCTCACCGACCGTGTGCCAGCCCTTGTAGCTTTTTAGGCCCGGCGCGAAGTGTGTGTGTCCCCTCCTACTCCTACTCCTCCTCCACTGCCCCAGCGACGCTCGCTCTGGCGGCTGTCACGCACATCAACACTACACGCAACCCTGAACAAGAAACGACACCAACCCTACAACCTCCGACTCCAGAGGTGGGGTCCAGGACTACACCTCCCCTCACTGCGACCGCATCTTCACCTCACACATTGGCCTGGTCGGTCACTTGCGAATCCATCGCACAGAGGCTGGCGAACCAGTGCCTGGAGCACCAACCTACACCCATCGCATTCGCCTTTACTGCCCACACTGCCCTCGAATCTTCACGCATCGCATGGGCCTATTCGGCTGCATGCGCATCCAGGAGCACCTACGGTGGACAACCGCCGGCTGCACTACGCCACCAGTCCCTCCTTCCCCGAACCACCACCTCACCACACATCAACACTCTCCCACCGCAGGCATACAACTACCACGTCGCATGCGAGTGGGACGTGTGCATCTCGACTCGCCCCCGTGCGGCCTCTGCAGCACAGGCGGCTTGAGTCCGAGACTATTTCGACATGTCAAGCGTCGTGGATAGGAAGGCTGCTGATCGACGCCCCACTCGGTCCACTCAGTCCGTCCAGTTGTGTGTGTGTGTTTGTGTGGAGTGGCGGACTGGTGAGCTGGAAGAAGGGCTAAAACAGTACCTTCCACTGTACTCTCACGCAAGTGAGAGATCCGCCGTTCAACCCCTATTGAGCAAAATCCTGCTGTTTGTTTTTGGGGGACCAGGTCGTGCACGTGGCGCACGCAGACATGGTCAGTCGACCATGCCAGCCACCGCGCCCATTCCCCGCTCCAGTCTACTGACCGGCTCGGACAGCCGCTGGGGTGTGGGAATGGGAAGGGAGAGTGAGGTCGACGACTCAGCGCACTTTCCACACTATAAACAATCTGACGCGCTCGAAGCTATCACAGCGAGCTAAATGCCGTGGCTTGGAAGGTTGCCAACTGACGGGGTAACTTGGACCTCCCCCGTGACTGGTGGTGGTCTGAGAGTCAGGCTGCAATGGCTCCTTTTTAATGTGGCCGTATGGCACTGTCACCACAGTGTAGGATCTGAGTCAGGCGTTGCCGGCACGCCTATGTGCGGCTTCGGCCGTGCCAGCCTCCAAACTCTGTTGTGTGGATGAAAATCCTGGTTATTTGTTGTGTGGATCAGGGGGTGTGGTGGAACGCCAAGGTGAGGATTCGTCCGAGCCATCCACCTGCGGCCTCCCCCGTCTCCGGTCTTCTTGACGGGCTCAGGCGGGGGAGGAGGAGAGAGTGTAGGTAGATGCTACGCAAGTCTACTAGCACTATAAACCCCTGCGTAAGTCACCGTCCCTGCTCCCACCGCTGCTGCAGCTGTGGGGCACACGGTGGACACCGTCGAATTCGACGGTCGAACTGTCGTGTGTGTGTGTTCGTACCTGAGCCTTGTGCGGCTGCGGCCAAACAGGGAAGGTATACATATCGATCGGCGTCAGTGTCGGGCAACCGAATTTCGAGTCATACGGCGCGCAAGCGCTAATTGACAAGCCTGACAGGCGGACGGAAGACGGTTTGAGTAAGAGGGGACAGTCGCCGTCCAAGCTTTTAGATGCATCGTCAGGTGAACGTGATGGACTGCAGCCTAATTCTTCGGGCAGTGCTCGCATTGATTTTGGAGAAAAGAACCAATAACAATGCCGGTATTAGCCCGTCAATCTGGATGTGCACCTATTAGTTGGTAGGACGGAAGCGAGAGAAGCTGACAGGACGAACACCCGCACTTAGGTGTATTACCACATCACCTGATTCAGAACGTAAAGACACCAGGATTATATGCAGCAAGAAAAAGGGGAGGGCAGGTTGGATCGTGAATAGCTAGGCGTGATCCCACAGCTGGGCATGCCAGCACTTCCCCATTCTTGATATTTGTTATGATTGTTTATTTCCAATAACATCTGACAGACATCGATCAGGCCCCTGTGCCGGTTCAGCACATCTACCTGTTAGCCAAAATGCTATTTCGGCCGTCATCTTACTACAGGCAAACTTAGACCGGCTCGAACAATGTTCAGGTCACTGGCTTCTCCCATTTAACGTTGCCAAATGCAACATTCTGAGGATTGGCACACCAAGCTCTGTGCAACGGAGGACGCACTATCTAAATCACACACCGCTGCCAGTGGTAGAGGTTCAGAAGGATCGAGGTGTTTGGATAACATCTTCACTAAAGCCATCATTCCACTGCTTGAAATCAGCGAAATCCGCAATGTCCAGCTTATATTTTATCAAGCGGGCATTTGCGAAGATCGAAACATAGTGCTCTCGCAAGGTCTTTGGGATGGTTGTGCGTCCACAGTTGGAATTTGCCACTCAGGTCTGGAGACTCTGGACTGTCAACGATCGTACCACCCTCGAAAAAAGGGACTTCAAAGGCCTACATTCCCTTAATAAATCTGATGTGATCTGATGTCTTGAAGTGGAAGCCCCATTTTCTGCAAATGATTTGTCGCTGGAGGATGTCCGAGTTGAGATGACTAACCCGAGCATCAGTCGACTGCAACCGAATGGCGTGCGGTGTTTAAATAGACCTGTCAGTTCGACGATTGTCAACGGCGATGCCCACCGTGTGTCCCACGGTGCGGAGGCCGCAGAACAGCGACTTACGCAGCACCCGTCACGCTAACTCCTCCTTCACCCACCTCTTGGAGTTACACGGTTAGGACGACCCGAGGTTGATTCGGACGCAATGATCGGGAATCGGTGGGCTTTTGAATTTAAGCCGCACTTAATTATGCTCCCCATTCAGATGGGGGGCTTCCTATCTGCACGTCTAACTCGAAATATACTGCTCTTTTCCGTAGGTTTATTTACCTGAATTACAATCAGGAAGTCATCTGTGCAGGGGGTTGGCAACATTTTAAAGGGCTAAAAGCTTGCGCGAATTCCGCACCGATTCACAGACGACTGTCCGCGATGCTAACCGTTGCACTTTGTGGCTAATAGGCCGTATTTGTTATCCTTCCCTGCTACCACTTTCACGTTTCCATCAAGAAATGTTAAAATATTAAAGAAAAACGCTGGATATTTTCACCATACAACCCTGGTGCGAAGCTACAAGCTCCTGGTTTCATACTTTGATGAATCGATACATTTTATTGCTGTAACATGCCAGGTCTCTTTGTTCAATAGTCTTTAAATACAACATATTTGTTAACACCTATACTCGCTCTCTACCCGTGAAGGTGACGCAACTAGGCTATATGACTTTCTTTCGAAAAAAACAGTTTTATTTTTTTGAGAGCAACTTATACTCTTATGCGGCGATTTTGATTGTGTCACCTTTCGCCCCCCTTACATTTTGGGCTTTGCCGACCTTGTTCCCTCAATATCCGACAAGCGTTCCTCCCAGTCAAATTTTAATTACCCGCTTTATCTTTTTTCATGTTTAAAATGGACCTCTGCTCTCTTGATCAGGTCAGTCTGTCCTGGTAGGCCTTCCAAAAATTTACTCCACTTCTAAGTAAGCTTTGACAATCAGAATGGCGAGGAAAAATGGTTCACCACACTTTCCCAAAAAATACTTGTCTGCTTCGGATTCCTGCAAATAATACTATCATCGCTCTTCCTAAACTACTGAGTGTCGAGTTGTGTTCTAGCTACCTTGGAAGGCAGTTAAATGAATTTTTTGATATGTGTTGTCTTTTTGGAGACGGGAGAAGTTCTTCCTCATACCTCAGGTTTTAAAGGCGTCGAAAGGAACTCCTCCACAAACGTAGGCTATGTGACAGTTTAAAGTATGCCAATGACTTGTTTCTTAGTCAGACGTTTATTACTAATTCGGTAGAAAATGATACCTGCTACCACTTGTACACTCGAAGTAGGGATATAATTCGGTTTTGAAAAAGTTTCTAATTGTAGAACTTCTAAATACCGTAAAATGGCCCTTCAGAAATCGTCATATCTCTGCGGTTAGAAATAGGGTTTGTTAAGTTAACAATGTGGCTCAAATCCACTGCTAACTCTTATGAACCCCATGAAGGCTCTCCTAAATACGTAGAGAAATGCATGGTTATGCGTACAGGGGAAATATAGACTTGTAGTTTTGAAACCCTGAATGCAAGCGCAACGGCAGGTCGAGTTCAAAATTATACGGAAATTGGAAAAGTTTTTTTAAAACCGAATTATACCCTTTCTTAAAGCATAATATTTAATGAAGACGTCGTTTTCTACCGAATGTGTAAGGAAATGAATATCTTATGCATGCTTTTAATGAAATATAATTTAATTTTCAAGGTCACCGAAAATCAATGACAAAAATACATGCTACATAAGCAGTCATTTTTTATAGTGTATAGTTTTCCATGCGACTGGAAAGAAGTTCGTTTTAAAGTCGGCGTCCTGAATTATTATAGAAGTATGCTGCATTATGATTAGTGTTACAACCCTACTTGATTAATCTTTTCGAAACGAAAATGCATTTCGGAATTTCAGTTGTCATTTCGTGAGTTAGCCCACATATCGTATATAGCTGTTCGTAAGTCAAGCCTCTTAACATTGCCAGATTTTCCTTTTTCTTTTTATTCCTTCCGACTGCTATTTAGCTAACCTTGTTATACTTTCTTCTTATTATGCGTTTTGCATTTTTCGTCAATTTCTGACACTTATTGCGCTTCCCGACTGAGCTCTTAATCTGCGTTGTTTGCACTTTCGATTAACGTCTGCGACCAATTACCATTAATTGGTGTTTCCCTTGGACCGTGACCTTCCGTTTCTCAGTTAGCGGCGGTTTATTCAGTTACCCGAATTTCCTTGACTACCATTTTGTGGTAGTTTTTCGAATCTTTGCATCTACTTACTGCTTACATTCCAAGCGCATTAGTAGGTTTTAGATGTAGTTCTACTTTTCTTCGCCTTGTATTTTTTCGAATTGCCCTTCGGGCGACCGAAGATCCCACCCGTATAACCCTAATACCATCATTCCCGTTAGACAGGCTCCTCAGATTAAACTTTCGCTGACCCGGGCACAAGCCATACCCTTGTCTCAAAAAGCCCTGCGGAGAAGGCGATATATAATCCCATAGACCGTCCAGGGTATCTTAGGTCTCTCTCCCATTGTGCCAAGGCGTGACACACAGTACAGTTCGGCAGCCGTCTGAGACGTCTCAGTAATTCTACTTAGAGACGGCACTGCATTGACAGTAGAGGCGAATAGACAAGTCCTAAGAAGCAGTCGTGACGAAGGAGACACAATCACTGGGACAAGAGTTTTATTAGCCTGACGTTTCGGATTCCTGCTCGAACCCATCATCAGAGGCAATAGCAGATACGGGTGATTCATGCAGTCGCCATGCTACCGCATACCTATGAATATTCACGTCCCCCCCCTTCATCATGGATCGTTACACTTGGTGTGATGACTGTTCAATGGCCGATATTCGCGTAGTTGTTTGCTGCCATTTCCTCAGGGGTGTTGGATATTGGTGTGATGACAGCTGAACCATCTGACCCACCGACCCTGGCGTTGAGATCAGTGTTTACTTATGCCTTCTCCAGGTGGTTCATCACTCCGCGTAGGCTGGGTATCAGGATCGAATATGGATGAGGAAGTTTGTTGCGCTTGTTGACAGACTGGAGGCCAGTGAACCAGGACTCAAGCCAAGACTCATGTAAGGTCAAACCGCACGGACCCCAAATTTTGGCGAGCCCTTCTGCATGTCAAGGAACTTTTCGAAAGCTGTCAGCCGCATTCTCTCGCTACTGGGGGTTGAAGTTTCACACAGACCGGAGGCAACCACTAGGCGTCCGATAATGAAATCGAAGGGCCGGCTGCCACGGGAAAAAAACTTTTGGAGTCGTTTACCGGATCTGGTGTAATTGCGGACAAAACAAATACGTCGGAGAAACCGAAGGAATGCTCCTAACAAGAATGGCCGTAGACGCGGAAGGAGTGCTGAGAACTGACGCCAGCTCTCAAGATCGAGACAATCGAGCTGCTACTACAAAGCAAATACAATGAAGCGGAGAATCGCCTTGGACGCGTCCAAAGCCTTCAGTTCCTGAAGTTCTGTCTCAGGACGTACTTCCCGTTTGACGGGACAATCTACGAACAGGTGAAGGGCACACCAATGGGTTCGCCGATGTCGGGATTCATCGACGAGGCCGTCCTGCAACGGTTAGAGTGGCTTCTCTTCAAACACCACAGACCGAAGTTCTGGACCCCGTATGTGGATGATACCTTCGTCGTTATCGACCGGGATCAACTGCTGACATTCAAGGAACATCTGAATGCGGTCTTCCCGGACATAAAATTTACGGTGGAGGAGGAAGGGAACAACCAGCTGGCCTTCCTTGATTTCCTCCTATGCCGCAAAGATTGTGGTGAACTAAAAACCAAAGTGTTCAGGAAAGCGACAAATACGATGCAAGTACTGAACTTCAACAGCAATCACCCAATCAGCCACAAACGCAGTTGTGTAAGAACGACCTATCGGCGTGTCAAAACGCACTTCACTGAGCCGGAAGACAAAATTGCCGAACTACACTAATTCCGACGGGTATTCAGAGCCAATGGCTACCCGCGCAACTTCATCGACCGGTTCATACGTAAAAGGGACGAATGGCCTAACGGCACGGACAACAAAGTTTGGCGAGCACGTCCATATGTCAAGAACATTTCCGAAGCTGTCGGCTGCCTTCTCGCACCACTTAGGTTTGGAGATACACACAGATCGGAGGCAACCATCAGGCGTCAGATAATGAAAGGCCCGCTGCCACGGCAAGAAAAGTCTGGAGTCGTTTATCGGATCTGGTGCCGTTGCGGACAGAGCAACTACGTCGGAGAAACCGGAAGACAACTCCAATCGCGACTGGCCGAACATGCTGCAGCGGTGCGGAGAAATGACGCTACATCTCAAGTTGCGATCCCTTCGACGAGATCCGGCCACACATGCGAATCCGACGAGGCCGAAAATCTCGCAAGAGATGACAACCGCGTGAGCCTCGAGCTGCTTGAGTCATGGTCGACAGACCACCAGAGTAATAGCAAGGCTAACAAGTGCTGGGAAGACGTTATCTGCACGCGGACAGCGGTTCGCAATTATCTACTACTCATAGTCGGAACAACCAAACAAACAACGGTCCGCGGCTCCCATCCTCTCCATTCTACCTCGCAGGTTGCTAGAATGACTCCGCTCAAGTTGACAACCCGTGATGTTGATTGTCTTTGTGAAATCCGCGGAACAACCGACCAGAAAGGGAGGGGGGCACAAGTTGCTCGAGAAGTGACGCGCAACAAATTGGATATCGCTGTCCTCAGCCAGACCTGCTTCTCCGAACAAGACTGACAGGAGTAGGTGAGTGACGGCTACACCTTCCTCTGGAGTGGTCTCCCAAAGCGACGTGAGGCTGGCGTCGCCTTCTTCGTCTGTATCGAAATCGTGGGATGGCTCCATGTTCTTTCCCAGGACATCAGCCTCTTCGGGAAGCCAGATCCTCCGCTGTCGTTACCGGCAACACTCGCCCAATGACCAACGCCAAACGGGTGAGAAAGAAGTTCTACAACGTCCTGCATGCCTTCCTGGGGACTGTGCTGACTGTGGACAAGTTGCCTGTCTTTGCTGACTTCAATGCCCGCGTCGAGAGATGTCTTTTCTGATTTCAGAGACCCCGTCGAGACAGGCCACGCTGCCTGAGGGGAAGGGGGGGAGCTCCAACGACAACGACCTCTTCCTTCTGCAGACCTACGCGAAACACTGTCTCCTCCAACCCAGCACATTCTTCTGTTATTCAACGACGGAGGGTGTAACCTGGATGCAAACCCAACATCCCGACGCTAGCAGCTGCTGGACTACGTTCTCTTCCAGGAAGTGCTGATGACCAAAACGATCTGCGACGCCGACGGTTGAAGTCATCAATGACTCACCATCTCAAAAATAAGGCTCCAACATGGTAGACACAGACCACCGTGTAGACGCCAGAGGGGCCTTCAGAGTGATATACAAGGTCCCATCAGGATATCCAAAACTGCTTCGGCAGCGCTTGTTGGCTACGGCAGAGGCGGCTGCAATCAGGCTACGCCGACCGGTCCTATGCGCACACAAGAACTTCGTACAGGTCCCACAGTTACCATGGTTGAAAGCCGCCAAGCCAACCACCCGCATGTAATTACCTTCACCGGGACCCACCTTCTCCCGGGCGCTGACTGGAATTTCGGTGTTTCACTCTCGCCTCCCTTCCCCTCCCCTCTCCAAACCCCAGCTACAGTTTAATTATCTCCTTGCCCGTATCTTTTCATTCATTACTTCAATAGCCATATAAATGAACAGGCCAGAAGATAATATATCGAAAGCAGACGTATGCTCGCCAAATTGTCTTTTGAGTTTTACAATGGGAATTTTCGCAACTCCAACAGTAACCTCGCAAAAAACCACTGCATAGACATGGTGGTATGAACTGCGGAACGTTGTCCACTTCACCGTCTTGGTTGTTGTCGGTCGCGCACGTCTTCAATATTAGGAATGGTTTGACAAAAACGACATAGACGTCAACAACTTACTCGTCCAGAAGAACAGACTGCCATACCGACGCAAGAGGTGGCCTTATTCGGATGTCACCGCCTTGCGCAGTGCGAGAGGCCTGATGCCCCAATGGATTGCAAAGTCAAGGAAATCCAAGAGTACGCTGACGGCAATAAAACAGAGATCGTCTTCGCATCAATCAGGGCGGTCTGCGGTCAACAAGAACGGCGCCGCTTCTCAACTCCGACGGAAACGCACTCCCGACGGGGAAGTTGCAAGCTCTGAGGTGTTAGACCAAGCACTTCAGACGTGTCCTCAACCGCCCATCCAGGATCTCCGTGGCCGTCATCGACCGACACCCCCATGGGAAACAGGCGACACCCTAGACACCGCCAGAAACAATCTTAATTTGGAAAGCACCGCAATCCTACACGATCTCGGCTGCACTTTAGAAGACTGGCTGCCCCGCACGATAAGTAAACTTATAACGCTTCTCCGAAAGATGTGGCGTCAACAACAAGTTAGCAAGGAGTTCAGTGACGTGAACGTCGTTCATCTTTATAAAGGAAAATTGAACGGGCAGCTCTATGATAACCGCAAAGGCATCCTGTTGCTCAACATCGCGGAGAAAATCTTCGCCCACACCATTGTCAGTGGTCTCAGCGGCTAGTCGGGACACCGACATCTACCCGAAAACCAGCGTGTCTTCAGACGATATCGCGAAACAATCGGTATGAACTTCCCCGCCCGGTAATCATAGGTGGATTGTTAGGAAATGCGGAACCAAATCGGCATCACCTTGAGGGCTTTGGCGAAAGCATCACGATGTGGACGAACCTACGGGCGTACGGAATCGCCTCCTCGGATATCTTCGGACCCAATGGAACAAGAAAACGACAACTCCATTTCCTGCTTTCAAAAACGCTTCCATTGTCATTCATGCACCAATCCTCACTGCACTGACCATCACGGGCACCACCACTGGCACCACCACAGGCACCACCACCACAGGCACCACAGGCACCACCACCAACACCACCACAACCACCACCACCACCACCAACAAACAACACGGTCGCCACTGGTGATCACACTCCTGATGCCACGACAGGCTCAGCCGATTTCGTTCATGTAAAGAAGCATATGCAAGTCCGAAAGAAGCGGAATTAACTCGGACGAAGGCCAAGATAAAATACGAATGTTCAGACTATTCGCAATAAATAATCATACGATAGGGCAAATTACCAGTAAAATCTCTGGCATGCGTTTGACGGATGAGTGACAAATGAAGAAAATACAGTGGCTGTCGTAAAAACAAATTTTCCTCTCACCATACAGATGTGCTGCGGAGAGATTGGAGGGGCAAGGCGATATAGCCGGTGACATTTTCCTGATGTTTCAAGGAGTACACGATCCCAGCTGGCAACTCGAACTGAAGGCCAATCCTATGCATCACCAGACCCAACCACGCATCGTCAATGGGAATGCGCTTAGTGTAGAACATGGCCAAAGCCAGATCCGCCACGTGATCGTAACCAAGCATGTAGAAGTATCCATTGCTGTAGGGTGCATGCACTGGCCACGGAACCTCCCGCTTCGACAGTGCCCATTTTCGGACGGCCGGAGTGTCCGTAGGACGCACTGTGGGACTATTCCAGCGAGTACTTGAAATGGAAACTCTGCGCCGCCAATCCACCGGCAGAGTGGCCAGTACAGCCTGCAGGCGTTTCTCATTGAAACCAATGTCATCGTCGAGGAACATGAAGGCAGGACGTTCGCGACAGAACCTGGCCGCCCACACGAATGTGTGATGCATCTTCAGAGACAGATTGTAGTAGGTGTCCTCGAAGTCGCCCACGATGAGATCATCGTGTTCACGCATCTCCTGCTCCAGTCGAGTTCGAATCTGGGCGCGGCGGTTTGCAATGTTGACGAGGGAGTTGCCGGCGCGACCGGGCAGTGAGATGTTGAAACCATCGCGTTGGAATGAATTGCTGCTTGTGCTTGTGGGCAGGCCCACCACGAACACTACTCCTATGCGATAGGGTGGCTTAACGCTACTCTCCTTTCTCAGGTGGGCGTAGAATCTGCGAAAGGCTTGTCTGTCCTCGAAGTTGTAGACGGCTGATTTCACAATGACGACGAGGTCGTGGTTGTGTTTGTTGTCAACGACGTCATCTACCTCTGGTGGACAAACCGAAGTGCTCACTTTGAGAAACCGCATGCTGGGGTCGTTAATGGGAGGCTGCAAGCGCACAAGAGGGTTTTGGATGCATTAAGAACAATTTTGTCGACGAGACAATCAAGCTATGCTTCGAGAGAATTCTGTGGTTATGTGTTATTTTAAACAATATGAAGCGTACTGAGGAGGCTGGGAAGGCTCTTTGTAAGATGTCTGATCCCGGTGTCATTAAAATCACAAGACAAATCCTTAAATGTACCAAATATATGTCAGTTATCCAGGGACTTCGTCTCGCTAAATGCATTTCCAACGTTTCGAGGCTCTACCAGCTTACTCTCCTGGCACATGTGCATACATTTGACACAGATTCTTAAATTCGAGTATTTACCAGAATTCTGAATTCAGTAATCAGCGGTTAACCATCTCCTCACTTCGGGTTTGCCATAAGATTTTCTTTAGGCGCTTGTTAGGCTGCTGACTAAGTTGTGCACACTGAACTTGGGGAAGTGAATACTTCTACTGTTTTGCGCTGTCAACAGCAAATGTGATTTGCTCCGGCATTCAAAACAACGAGATTCATCAATACCAGTCTGCACTGCGATAGCGCATAAGATGGGAGGAGTTAGGCCTTGGCAATCAAAACACAATCTTTTCCGACTGGCTGTGACATCCGGGTTATTTGTGCGACAGAGTGCTGTGCATAGCGCATCTCGCTGACTGGACCAAAGTGGAAGGAAGCGTGAGAAGTGCTCGCGTGCAGGCGATCGATATGCGCTCTGCATCGAAGGCTATGCGAGAGAGAGAGAGGCGGTCCCTACCAGATAAATATGATGAAACCTGGTGCCCAGAGAGAACTTGGGGGATCAACACGACGGCAGAGCATCTGATGGTGCTAGAGATCAAACAAGGTCACAGACCCAAACCGAAGAATGAAGAACATCAATGTTGACTACTCTGCGTGTCAGGGGACAGGCAGTGATCTGTTTTCGCTGTCCTGGTCCCAAGTGTAAGCACAATGTGTTCATTGAAAGTTAAGTAAGGCGAAGAGGGATGCTGAAATCGTGGGTGGAAAAGTAGCCAAAGCTAAAACGCAAAAAAAAATGATGTTTCGTTTTAAAGTTATGGTTAATTTTAGGGTTTAGGTTTGTGCCAGACTGATAATTGAATTTAAGGTTAAATTTTGTGCTGCATTTAAGGGTTTCAGTTAGAGTTGGGGTTGGGATTGCCGTGTAGGTTGGCGCTAAGGTTGGTGTTAGGGTTAGTCTAAGTCTAAGGTTATGTTTAAGTTTAGGGGAAAGGTAAAGTTTATGATTTGGTCCAGGGTTAAAGTTAGGCATAGGATTAGGTCTGGGGTTTGTGGTAGGTTTAGGACTAGGCTTAGCATTAGGTGTATAACTAAACTGAGGATTAGGTTTGTTTTTCAGGCCATGGGTATTGTTGCCCCATGTTTCCTGCCTTCTGCGGAAATTCTGGGTTTACTTCAATCTCGCGACAAATTTATCATACATCAGGTTGCCAACTCCGTTTCTGCCTCGGCTACTTTTCCCTCTAAAGGTTTCAGTATCCCTCTTCGGCTTATCTTACTTCCAATGCCCACATTGCGCTTGAACTTAAGACCCAAACAGCGTGCCAGGTAACGAAATGTAATGCAGACCCAATTATCACTAGGTACTTTAGAGGCAATACAACAGACATTAATTTGACAGTGAACCTGCGCTTACCTCTGGAACCAAGCCAGTCTCCCGGTAATTCCTAATGATCTCACGCAGAGCAAAACCCTGCGGATATAACAGGAAGACGTCCGGATTAATTGGCCTTTTCCAGTCAGTATCGTTTACTTGGGCCATCTCTGCAAAGGTAATATTCCGACCTCCACCAGTCCTGCTGATTAGATCGAGCGGAAGTGTGTCGTATCTGGTTACTGGGAGGTGCGAATCTACACAATAACGGAAACTCAGGTCGTAGGTGCCGTCCTGTGTCATTTCACTGATACAAATCCAGCGAAGATTGCATATTACTAATGAAACTTGAATTTTCACTGTTTCAACAGCGTTTGCTACCCATTCGCTTGTGAAGAAAACATCGCAGAGTATCCTCGTAATTCCTAATAAAGCTAAAATGAGGATCCACGTACGATTAGAGCGCACGAATCCAGTCATCACGGTATAGCCTCTTCTTAGTTCAAAAAATGGAACGCACGTGTTCAACGCGATGATTTATACAGGGGCTTTATTGAGTTCTGTGTGATACAAAACATGCTGAAGGATGCCTACCGGCGGTAACAAACTAGCCAATCAGAATTGGAACAAGTTCTGTTTATGTAACGAGTCGAGATGCAAACAGAAGTTCTCGGCAAGTATTCTCACTGGCTGCCGACTCAAGTTGTCTTTGATGATCTGTCGTCAAGTCTTAATGTAGCTGCTGAGATGCACATGAGAAATCAAGCCAGCTCGCTAGCTCCACCAAACGTCCGAAATGGGCATTAGGATGAGGGCTGCAATCAATTCTCCGCAGGGGGTTTTCTCCATTTAAAGTAAAATGCGTTTTCAAGTGGGCAAGTAATTTGAAGGATGATGGATGTTGAAATCTCTGATGACCGTCTGATTGGCTGCTTGTGTAACGAACTTCAGCAGGTTTATGACAGCGTACTTAGGGAAGTCGATCAGAAAGGATGGATGACCGAGAGGAGTAGTCTAATATTAAGGTCGAGAATCTTTTGACATTTAAGAATTTTCCGGAGAGGAGTAGCGTGTGAGATAGATGCTATGCAAGTCCCCTATCACCACAGACTAAATCATGCACAAACCGTCCTCCTTCAAAATCGGTATTATTTAAATGTTCAGACGCATACCATGTCTATTTTGTAGTGGCCGCATTACGTGATCTAGACCATTGCGCTTCTCGTGTGTACGCTCCAACTCCCCCCCCTCCCCGCGTTTTCGCTTCGGGTGGAGAGCCATCTTCTACCGATTGCGAGGAGGTGAGGAAGGAGGCAGGTAGTTGCCGCGGCCGAACATGCACCCGGGTGTGCCACTCCTTACTCGTAGAGACAACACAGAGAATCTGTCGCATCACAGAAACACACGCCCTTGACCTGGCTGGTGGGGAGGTAGAATTGCCGTGTGTGGAGATAAACACAGGGATAACGTCACCTGGTTTAGCCCGACGGCTGAGGCGTATGCAAGGATGTGGCTACTAGCTTCGGGGAGCCACGCGTGAGAGTTGGATGTCTATCACTGGACACTAAGCGTACTCAGCACCTGCGAGACAGCGAGCGAACAATTGCGGCCATCACGTGACCCCACAGCTGGACACACCTCCACCCCGACCGACGATGTCTATCGTGTGCTCCAGTGCTGGGTGGGGTAGTCACATTGACCCGTACCTGATATCTTTTACAATGACAGTAGACTTGCACTGCATCCACCGCACTCTCTCCTCCTGCCCCGACTGGACCCGGTGTCAAGACAGAGTCAAGAAGGCCGGCGGTGGGAGAGGAGGCAGGTGGCTGACACGGCCGCGCTCGCACCTAGGTGTACCAGCATACCCCCTGGCTCCCAAAGAATACGTGACGAGGGTCTTAACCAACAACAACAGCACCACAACTGGCCGGTCATACTCACGACTTGTTTACCCATTTGCAGCGCGAATGCATCTACCACCAGGGAGACACGTGCCAGAGAGCCGCCATCGCACATCAGGCCTTGAGGGTCATGGTTTGCTCATCCTGGCAGAGCAGACTGCTACAAACCTTTAGGTCCAGAATGATGATAGGCATCCCTCCATTTGTCTGCGCCATCACCCCGCAAAGACCGGGTAACCAATCAGCTATCGACTGAGAGGCACTACGCATAAAGCAATCCTGACTTGCGTGAGAGTGTCACAGATGGAGCTGTGACAGCGGGGCTCTACAGTAGGTGGGTTAACTCATGAAATGTCAACAGACATTCCGAAATTCCTTTCCTTTTCAAATGGATTAATTAAGTATGGTTGTGAAACTACTCATCGTACATTATAATAATTCAGTTGCCGCAGGTCGCCGGCTTTCGAACAAACTTCATTCTAGCTGCATCTAAAACCATGCTCTGTAAAAAATGACTGCATATGTTGCATGCATTTTTCAGTGATTTCTGATGCCCTTAAAGATTCAGTTATATTTCACGGAAAGCATGCATAAAAATTCTTATTCTTTTGCTCATTCGGTAGAAAATTAAGTCTTCTTCTTCTTCTTCTTCTTCTTCTTCTAATTTTACACTCTATGGAAGGGTATAATTCCGTTTTAAATAAGTTGTTAATTGTGAGGTTTTTCAATGTTGTGAAATGGTCCTCCATAAAACCTCATATATCTGGATATACCGACGTGGCTTCTAAAGTTAACAATGTGACTCAAAACTACTTCTTAATTTTATGAACCCCATATAGTCTCCTTTTAATACTCTCGACAAATCTATGGTTTTCTGTACGCGGAAAAAATATAAGGCTTGTAGTTTGGGAACACTGAATGCAAGTGTAACGGCAGGTTGGGTTCAAAATTATTCCGGAATTGGAAAAGTTCTATAAAACCAAATTATACTCTTCCTTCAAATATAAAATTTGTAGAAGACGTCATTTTCTACCGAATGTGCAAAATAATGATTATTCTTATGCATGTTTTTCAAGAAATATAATTTAACGTTTAAGGGTGTCAAACATCAATGAGAAAAGTGCGCGCTACTTAACTAGTCATTTTTC